GTACTAGTGTTTTTTGTTAAATAAGTCAGTACGTAATACTGTGATGCAATACGTGATTTTAGTGCTTTAATTATTTGTCAGTGAGTAAGTGGTACAAGAGTAGTGCAAGTATGTCCATTTAATTATTGGTTTTAAGTAGTGTATTAGTGATTTGTGTTAAATAATTTAGTAAGTAATACTGTGATGCAATTAATGATTTTAGTGCTTTAATTATTTGTCAGTGAGGGAGTAAGCGGTACTAGAGTTGTGTACGTATCGTGCAAGTAGTGCTAAAAGTTTGTTAGGGTAAGTGTTTTTGTATAAGTGTGTAAGAATTGTATTACCTAGTGTTGTGTCCTAAATGAATATGTGTTGCTTATATAAAAAAGGGAATGTTTAAAGAAATTCAAACGAGTCACACCTCCTCGTGGTGCCAGCTGGAAACACTTTATTTCCAACATGTTTGATATAAAGTGGCTGACGTGACAGTGTGCTTTTTAATTGTTTATATCATGTTAGAAGTTGTATAAGTATTAATATGAAAAGGCAAAACCTTAAAAGAGCGACGCTTTTGTTGATCTCTGATATTTACTGATTTAGAATGAGATAATACTGCTTTCAGAATGAGACAAGATAAAATCTCTTTAAAGTCGGCTAGTCGAGGGAAAACAATAAAACACAAACTCTAATGAGATTAAGACTGACATAACAATAGTGGAGATCGGGGCAAATTCGGCCCATTTTTATTAAAGTCCGTTCTGGGAAGTATGGCAGCACGTCCGTTTTTGAAAATTATTTAATTTTCCCTGTCAGATGATCGGAATGCCCGAACGAGCCCCTCAATGGGATAAGTTCGGACAGGCATTCGGGTAAGTTCGGCTCCATTGGAATCAGCTTAATTATGACGTTATAAAGCATGCAACGTCAGATTTTACCGCCAACTTTACGATTTTTTATGTGTTAAATGGGCCGAACTTGCCACGGTATCATTGGCTGAAACTGTCCGGGCCCAAATTGATATTTTGAAAAATTCTTATGGTACAGGAATATGGTAGTGAGTGCTTGGCTTTGCTTTTATGTACATGTATATCATTTGAAGCTGTCAGTGTGTTACACGTTTGACCGTAAAAAACAGAAAGTTCGCATAACTAGAAGCGAGATCATGATTTTCTTTCTCAAAAGTAATTTTCTCCTGTTAAGTAATTTTACATTAGAGTTTTCCTTGCCACTTTTTCGTGTGAATGCCCAGCCAACTAAACTGCTAAGATCTTTAAAGTTTTAAATATTCGCTCAAAAACAAAAATATTAGGGGTGGCCGAACTTGCCCCGGTCTCCCGTATATAGATTTTTTGATGCGTTGATGATTGGTAAAAATATATTCACAATATAATTTTTGCATCAATGACACCATTTTCAAAGCTAAAGCAGATATTTGTGCTTGTGCGTAATGATGGGTCGGGTGGCGCAGTGGATAGCGCACTCGTCTTCACAAAGATGGCCGGATTCAATCCCGGTTACCTGCCCGACCAAGCGGGTTTTCTCCGGATACTCCCGCTTCCTCCCACATTAAGAATTAAATCCTCTGCGTGCTTCCGTCAGGTCACAAAAATAATGATTGAATTAAGGTGGGAAAACACTGTTTGGTAATTGCTATAGAAAAAAGTGCATATCACATATTTGACGATAAGTCTATAAAAGTAAATGTATAGAGATGTTTGTTAAAAAAATGAAATTAAAAAAAGAAAACATTGTAATACTTTGATGTAACTGAGATTGTCGTTATATCGATATTTAGAATTCCTGATCCATCCTGAAACACCGGATCGAATTTCAAATTTTGGTACTGTCTTTGAGGTTTGACAGGTAATGATGCCACATAAATTTAAACAGTTTCTGTCTGTAACCAGTTTTAAGTTATACGATGCTGAAAAAGGGCGTTGATTGTTCATTTCGACATACATGAATTATCCATTGTTTCTTTTATGAGTGGTGATGCATACATACATTATGTAAAGACTATAACCGGATTTTTTTTTAATTATTTCGTTCATATCCTCAAATATTGGAAACAAAAGCTGATGAAATTTAAGACGATGCAAAATAAATGTACACGTTGACCTATTGGTTTAATGCGGCTCTTTTTGAAAATATCTCCCGGTAGAAGTATTAACAGAACCTCAGTAGTTGATGACAAAAAGGATCTTCAGAAAACATCCGCGTTTTTACTTTTTGTGGCTGTGGCAAAAACTGAAATTAAAAAGTCAGGAAAAAGATAAATGCAACGGCCATCAGTTCCAAGATTTTCCGGGTTTTTTTTTATCCTTCCGGAAAAAAACGATGAAGGCCGATGGAGTGTGGCGTGATTGTGACGTCATCGTATGATAATCTCTGAACGACGTTTCATGCTTGCTATTATCAAAATTTATATGATAGATTTTTTTCGAACAAACATGTAATGTATATTATTATTTTTTTATCTAAATAAACAAGTAACAAAACATGGGTATTGTTTTCACTCTATGAAGATGTTCATGTATGGGTTGAAACACAATTGTCTTTGCTTCAAGGATACACTTCCGGTTTCCCCACTGGACGTCTACTTCCGGACGAAAATATTTAAAGGCAAGGTGTAGAAAGGGGAAGCAACTCTGTTTACACACGCATGTGTTACCATTAAAGAGCCTCGCTCGGGCGCCTTCGGCGCCTGAGAGCTACGCTCTTATTAGTATGTCCGTTGTCGGCTTCGGTGATACAGGTCAGTTCTTCATCTTCCGGCAAGTAATTATATCTTGATTCAAGAGAATGATATATTTTTTTTTAACTTTTAACATGATATTAACGACTTTAAGAAAAATACTTTTTTGTATGACGAACCAACCTAGGGCGAACGGGATTTGGGGCTAAACAACCCTCAAGGCGAACGGGATTTGGGGCGAAACAACCCATTACCATGGCAACATGCAGCGCCTGGTGTCCGTCCGCATTTAAATCAGACGGTTCATAATATCTAGCCGGCACCCGTCTCTTTCCTCTTTTTCTCCGATGATTTTAGGTTGAAAAAAAGGTATGCTAGTCTTAGGGCTGCTTTGACGGAATCGCTTTCAAATCTGGATCATAAAATACTTATCAAAATTTGTATTGCAAGTTATGTCCCCTTCACCAGGTCAGGAAAGCTGAACGCTATTCAGATGTCCTGAGGTATAGCTTGTTTTAAAAAGTTATTAATCATATCTAAATTGATAAATACAAATATATTACACACAAACAAGTACCTTAGTATGATAGTATATATTTATTAACGCGTATGTTATCAATCTATCCAAGATGTCATTTCAAATCATTGGAACAAAAACTAATTATATTAGTCATATGTGTTGTGGTTTTATTGAAAGAAAGAAATAGAGACAGACAGACAATTACTGGCAAACAAAGACAGACAAACCAAAAGTAGACATGAGCACAGAACCAAAGATAGACAAGACACAGGCAAGAACTGTCAGATAGACAGACAGACACAGACAGACAAAGACAGACACCCATACATGTACATATACGCACAAAGATAATCGACACAGACGCAGTCAGTAATATCATGTTATGCCCCACTCGGTTTAATGGGTTGCAATTTTTATTTTTTTTATTTTTTTATTATTGTTTTTTTTATCATAGACAAAAACATATACATTTTGTCGTAATACATAATATTACAGTTACATGTGTACATACACATTAACACAAACATACATGCATGCATGCACTCATACTTATCATACATATATAACATACATACATATACATTTACATTCTGTATGCTTAGACCCATTGACAAAAATTACATTCATAAATGCATAACACAGGTGTTCATAGAATCTCAGCACGTGGGAACTGATAGAACGTTCCGGGGTCCGTACCCTAGTCACTTCTAAGGATCCCTGTGCTGTAAGCTTAATTATAACTATACTACAGTTGCAAATATATACAAATATGTGTTACTACCTTGTAACCAGCATACCTATTATCTAATGCTTAATACATGATATGAACAGAACAATTACTGCACGACTATAGAACTAATACCAAAGCTATCTGCTTTGTTTCAATACAACACACTACCGTACAATCCAGGCAGTACACAACTCGACTACCTAGTCGCGGCTAGCCCTAGTCACTATGGTTGCCCTATAGTCAGCTACCTAGCTATATGACCTAGTCGCGCCGATCACGACAGCCTCATACTAGTATACAACTACAGCACTCTCTAATGACCACGACTATCCCTAGTCACGACTAGCTCTAACGACTATACCTAGTCACGACTAGCCTGGTCGCGACTACCCCTAGTCACGACTAGCACCAACGACTATACCTAGTCACGACTAGCCTGGTCGCGACTAGCACTGCACAGCCTATGCCCGTGACACCTTCTGTCTAACGGTATCTCGCTACAGCACTCAATCGTTTATTTAATATATCTTCCAGGCAGTGTGTGGATCAAGGCAAGACTTATTCAGTCACTTCTATCTTTCCAACACAAAGCCGGTCTCGCATATATTAGGTACTTGCGATCTGTCACTGCTGTACACACGCCGAGATCAGAACAGAACTGGGCCGATTGTCGCTGGATTCTGCCTATTTATACCCTCTTGCTATCCTAGCGACACCTAGCGGTGAGTGAGGTATAATCACCTGTACGTTTTGATTGTACCTCGAAAACTATCTGTCTTCTAAGCATTCGAATTACGGAGACATAATCCAAATGATTAACGCAAACAGATCAACGTATCTAACCTGAATAATATGCTAAATCAGCGAAGGTAGGATTACGATATGTACATTCATCACATTACCCACGCCTCCGAGAACAACGCGTCCTCGCGTTATAAAAATAAAACAACTCTGGTACTGAACTCTCCAAGATGTAATGACATCAATCAAAAATATACACTATGATTCGAAACATAACTTTGTCATTGTCCCTGAATGAACAATCCAAGTCCCAATCTTTCATTCTTCTCTCTTGCCTACTGGCTCCTCGAACAACAAGGACACAAATTGAGAACTTCATCGAACTTGACAATCTCAATGGACTTTTCGCCCTCGGGGTATCTGGTCGTTTTGGTGACGGTACTCCTCGACTGCACAGGAAGGGTTTGTACGGCCACTGTCTTCATCAACGGTGCCTGCCTTACCCTGGAGGTACTGGCAACCGTAACCGCATGGGGTATCGTGTTCCTAATGTCTTTAGGATGGAGCTTCTCTGCTTGATCTGGGGCTGCCCCAGTCGTCCGTGGACGTTTCAAAGAGATTGGCAGGGAAGGCTGCGTTCTCTTTCTAACGATCCTTCCAGATAGCAGTTCCTCATTGTCTTTCTCGACAACTTCACTGTCAGAGGACTCGATATCCTCATCCTCGGAGCTGGAAACAATCAAGTCCCCTGGGTCTTGATGCTGCCAGTCATCAACGGACGTTCCAGCTGCTTCCTCATCGCCAGCACGCTGGGAACTGCCTTGTCCCGTAACCGCCTCATGCCTCTTTTGATGACGTTTCAGGTACGCCTTCCTTGTCGTAATGAAGTCACACTGCTCACAACGCAAGGTGTTCTTCTCCATAGTGGCCAGTCCACAATTCATCAGGTGTGTCCTCATCTCCTCTCTATCCGCCGTCTTATGTGCACACATGGGACACTTCTGTACTGGGGTTTTCTTTGTGTTTACCATGATTCTCCTACAACAGCAAATGTTACCCTCATATAGTGCTAACACAAATAGTCTGATCTACCTAATATTCTGAAGTGTAACTAGAATGCCACTGAGGTGGTCGTCGAGTGCGTGTTTGCCTGGAGTTGTTCTCAAACGCTTTCTCTCCAATTCTGACTGAATCACTTTTATTCTCATCATTCTCCACCTCCATATGAACATCTTCCATCACACTCCCATTCATTTCTCTAGATGACGCAGCATCCCCTACTTTCAAGTAGCTGAAACAACTCTCATCGACCTGTGTTTGTCGATCTCTTAACCCTCTCGCTTCTTGGGCATTTTCACCACTCATGACCTGACCCTCCCGTAACTTCATACGGTCCGCATGGATGACCTGTGACTTCCCCTTGCGTCCGCAACGCACTCTGTAGGTGACGTCTGTCAACTTAGTCAGCACCTTGTACGGTCCTCTCCACCGACTTGATAACTTGTGACTTCGTCCCA